TGTGTGTGTGTGTGTATATATATATATATATATACACACACACACTACTGTGCTAAATAAAGTCTTTGACTTAAAACCAAACGCAGAGAGAAAACGCAAACCACAGAAGGTTTGTAGGCTGCAACTCAACACAAACAGAGCTTAAAAAATGGACTTATTTATCTGATCGCATGCTTTAATCAGGGTGCCTACAGAAGCCCATGGAGCTGCTCCTCGGCATGATGGAGGAGCTCTGGTCTGGGAAGAAGGAGAATCAACAAAACAACAAACAGTTCCTCAGTAAGCGATTCTCTCCGTAACAGAGCAATCCATAACTAGTCAACTAGTCCCGCTAACCCAGTGCTTTCTATCCAGTGAAGATGGTCCAGATCCTCAGCTTGATTGGGAGGAGCACAGGAGATACACACTCTGAAAGAGACGCTCAAAGCCATGAAAACGGACTGAATTACAGGAAAAACAGCATCAGTCTGAGATTGAAGATCTGAAACTCCAGGTTCAGCAGACTCAAGAGTCCATCGTAAGATCATTTCAATCAAACGAGTCTTTGTCTTAGTTTGAACTAGTTCATTATTAGCTCATTAACTCGCATATTGTGTTCCGGAGGGGTTTTGTTTGTCCTGAAAGTGAGTCAATTTGATCACATTGGACTAAAACTGTGCTCAAACAAGGTATAACAACTTGCCAAGAAAAGGATAATTTTTGTACTCCTTTTTTTTTTTAGATTTTTTTCCAACCTTGTTGCACTCAAAAATGACCGGCCTACAAAAAATTGCTTATAAATTTACCAAATACTGGATTCATATTTTTTTTTCCAATTAGCACAGGTTTTGTATTTCTTTTTGGAACTGGTTGATCATAGGCCTCGTTGATCTGAGCTCATGCACCTCTGAACATTTTTGAGTGAACATTGCCAAAAATATCCACAAATAATATTTAAGGGTTAACAAAAGCCCAATGACAATGTCCGTGTGATTTGTGTGCCATATTCCAAGATAGTGCAAGATATCAGTACATATGGCATACAAATCTATCTTATGACTTAAGAAGACTCGGAAGTATAAACATTACATGCACGATTTTTTTCACACACACATCGGGATTTCTAAAAACTAAACTTGGATATTTTTATTTTAAAACAAGATGAAAACTGAATGATTTTGGTAATGTGACAGTCTCATTTTTATAGCGTCTTGTACGGTTAAACACTATGATCCCTTGCATATTTAAATTATATGTAAATTAGGTTATGCATTGCTCAGCTATTTTGGGGATGCATGTATGAAAGTATCTGAATTTTGCACAACACAACCTGCCTTTTGTGCATATACTTTTAGGATGAAATCTACACCAAGTTTGGTGTTTTTAGTCCTTTTGACCATTTTTTCCAATTTGGAAGTAAATAATGACTAACTTTTTTCTCTGTTATACGTCACATTAGAGAAGGTAAAATGACGTCTGCTGTTGTCTTTAATGCAGGAAGCCCTTAATGAGCAGCTGAAGAACGTGCTGGAGGAGAACGTGTCTTTACAGAAACAGCTGATCAAAGCAGAAAACAAGCTGCTGTGGTCTCGGCTGAAGAAGATGCCAGACATGCAGGATGGAGGTCAGTTTTCTAAATGAGAGCTGTTCAAATACAACAGGGTTGTTAATGTTTGTGCTGCTGGATTTTTAGGACAGCAGACGGTCCCTGAGGATTTGAACGTGAAAAGACACACAATTCAGGAGGGAAACGGAGCGAATGTGCATTAAGAGAGCTACAGGTACATGTCAGGACGATCCAAATGCTACACCGCTTTAAAACCTTCCAACGTTTGTGTTGATTTTGTCTTTTTTGCAGGTCTTTGATTGCCAGAAATGAGCGTTTGCTGCGGCAGCTGGAAGAGGCTCTAATGAGCCGATTGCTGCAAATGAAGAACGTTCCTCTGATAGACATCTAGTGTGAATTTATTATAGATCTGCCCTTCAAAAGATAATATATGAGGTCACATCTCTTTTTGTAGAAGCCTTTTGTTTTATAAACACTCTGTAAAGCAGCATGGGTTCTGTTTATTTCTACATCTGAGATTTCAAGTCTTGAACTGATGCAAAATTGCTTGTTCGGTTTGTGTGACAAGGCAAGTTTTCTGTTCAGACAGACTTTAAACATGATTTCTGCGGGTCTTAAAAAATCTTAATTCACCCTTCCACAGATTAAGGCCTTAAAAAGTCAGAAAGTCTTCA